CCCCCTGATTTGGAGATTTGTACTTCTTCTTCTTGGAAAGCTCTTCTCTGAGGTCTTGGCATGGATGACTCTTTTCTGTTTGGCCACAGCTCAAACATCCCCTCCGTGGAGAGTAGGTCTTCCCTGACCACATAATTAATTGCCTTTCTGGATTATCATGCATTTATATTCAGGTGGGGTAGAAATTGGCAATGAATAAAGAAGTGAAAAATGAGATTTTTAATAGTAATGAGGATTGTGAGAAAAATATTGCAGGCAGTATAAGAGAAAATGTATTCACTGGATCTTTGGGGCCCATATGAATACATGGTGCTATTAGGGGCTTTGTAAATATTTGTTAAATGAATGAACATAACTCTAGCTTTGAAGCCAGAGACTCAAAATTTTAGACCATAAACAAATAATATGTAAAAAATATACTTTCTTCATCTATTTCTAATGTTAGTAAATTACTTAGAAAATCCAACATTATCACATTATTTGTAGAAGTTAACACTGTAATTTTATAACCATGTTCTTATTCATTATAGTGATTCTAGTATATGTTATAATTTTTTTTTTGGTGGCCAGCTTGTACAGGGATCTGAACACTTTGACCTTGGTATTAGGACACCATGCTCTAACCAACTGAGCCAACTGGCCAACTGTATTCTGGTGTATGTTATAACAACTTTTGGCATTGCTAATATTTCAAAAACAAAAGAAAGGCACTTTCTGCTTTTTTTTTTCCAGTGTAGAAAATCTGTGGTTACCTCCTGATATTTAAGAAGGCATCCTATAAATTGCATAATCAGATCCTTAAAACCTTAGGTAAAATAGTATAACCAATTCTATTAATCTCCCTTTCTCTTACTTTTCATGCTTTGAAGTCTAATATATATTAATATTTGAAATCTAAGTTTATTAATACAACAGAAAGAGTATAATCAAGTAAATATCAAGGCATATAATTTTTATCAAATAACAATATTGCATAGTGATTTTGTTTCATGTTTAATTGCCAAACCCACCTGTTAAAAACTACATTTTGAATCAGATTGTTTTTTCTATAAGGAGAATAGTTTGATCTGTTGGTTGTAGCACTCCCTGAAACAGATGGCCTTGGGTGGAGGGCCAGATGTTTCAAATCCGTATCTTCATTGATGATGTGGAATGTGAGAGCCTTTATTTGGGTATGATGCTAGTAAGATGTATTTTTTCGGTTGTTGGTTTTTAGGTTTTTAAAAACATTAGATACCATGTTCCATTAAATCAGATGACACCAAGAATTAGATAACTTATGCTCTTATTGATTTGTCATTGGTACATTGTATATAGCCTATGTTTATTTATGAGATATTTTTAAATTATATATTTAAAATCCTTAATGTGGATCTAGTAACTATTTGATATTAAAATAGATAACCCTGGGTGAAATAGAAGAACTAGATATTTTAGACCAGTAATAATTTATTATGTAACTACAGCCTCTATTTACATATGAGTTTAATAAATTGTCCTCTTTTTTAGGTTTTGAAAACACTGAATTGACTCCTCTTGCTGCAATATGTGTGAAAATCTATTCTGGAGGAAAAGAATTAAAGGTGGATGGCTCTATTCAAGTTTCTCTTCCCCTTCTACATACAAATGATATAAGTGTGGGGGATCGCATACCTGCTTGGACATTTGATATGAACACGGGTATGTGAGCTGAATAAAAATGTTCTGAATATTTTGAATGTTTTTCTTTTAAATATTTGAATTTTTTATCTTTGAAATTTGACACAGCTCTAGTTTTTCAGTAACATTACAATTTTATGCACTTTGATGACCAAAATTGGCCTCACTTTGATTAATATAATACAAGTATGCAAGGAAATGATGCTAATACATATGTCCAAAAAATAGCATTATTTGTTCACATTTCTTTAACTTTTTGTACCCGCCCCCCAACATTTTGAGGCAGAAATAAATTTTTTAAAAGTTATTTTTCCTCCTAGGAGTTTGTTTTTGTTTTGATAGGCAATATGAGCTTATATAAAGTTTGGTTAAGGCGATTAAGAAATGTATGCTAATTTAATGAAAATAAATAACATTGTTTTATAAGAAAATAACATTGTTTTATTAAAGAAAGAATGATTATTTCTCTTCCCCAAGAAAACTTTAGTACTAAATATTTTGTTCCCTGAATTGCAGCTGGAAGCACTTTTTCCTCCTCAGCTTCCCTTGGTTTTATTCTTGTGTTCTCCTTGTAAATAAGGTGGGAGTCTAAGTTACAAAAATAAAAGAAACCATCAGTCCGCAACTGAAAAGCCCAGAGGAAGGACTGCTTTGTGTGAGGCATGCTATGGCGCCTGGACACTTTCACAGGAGTTGGTCTCTCTCCTCCTTTTCTCTCATCTGTTTCCTCTGTGTTAACACTTTTCTGCGATAGGATTTCCCTTCAGAGTGGCAAAAAGGCTGTAAGTGCTGTAAACTTTATACTTATCTAGGTTGAAAGCCAGTGGAAGAGATTCTTTTCCTAGTAGCTATAGCACAAGCCCTGGGATTCACTGCAGTTATAGAATGGAGTTTACATTCCTATCTTGGAACCAGTCTTTGTGGCCTGCAAGTATGCATGGATTTATTTAGGCTTAGAGTGTTAGAGCTGGGGATGGAACCCCAAAGTAATTATGTGGACTGACAATAGGGACAAGTAGATCCTCAAAGGGATTTGAAATGGGATTTCATTGTATTTGGAAGAGTGGGTAGTGAAGCCAAAATACTACACAAATGATCACTGTAGAAGATAAGCAGTAATGTATCTATGATTTTAAGAAAGAGTGGAAACGATGTAAGTAGCAATGAGAGTACACTGTTGTAGATCATTAGATTATGAGCTCTAGGATTCAGAGTCTAGTCCATTTACTAGCAGAACCAGTATGAACAAGTCTTTTAAGGGCCTCAGTTTCCTAACTTGGTGAATGAGAGAGTTGTTTTAAGGCACTTTAAAGAAGAATATCTGCTGTTTAAATCCTGGTTTCTGATTCTCTTGGCAAAAGCCTTTGTCTCTAATGTACCTGTAAGCAACAGAATTTTTAATTGATTTATCATGTATGCAATTCTTGATTTAATGTGACTATTTAAAAGCAATGGATTGAATCCTTCCCATCATTTCAAGTTTCTCTTCCTTATTAAAAACACTGTTTTACTTGTAGATAATTCACCACAAGGAATTAATTAAACCAAAATACAAATATACACCAAAGTTATAGATAGCTTTCTTATGCTGTTTATACATAAAACTCCATAAAAGGTATGGGTTTTATTGAATTCTTTTTTCTATGGATGGCAAACTTTTATTGGATTAGATTGCATTTTTTGAAAGTTAACAGTATTTAATTAAAAAAGATAATAAGGCTTTAAAACATACACTGTGTTTAATCAAAACCCCAGAACAGGTGACAGATAATCACCTGTTGATGAAGTGGGATTTCACTACTTACATCCTTAAGAGATAACTCAATATGCACAATTTAAACATTATTTGAGAGTCATGATTTTTCTAATAAGTATATCTGCATCCTTAGTTTATTATTTTATTTCCTTTGGTCACAAAAAGTCCAATTATTTTAGGTATTATAATATGGACTATATTATAGTATGATATATATATATTTTCCCATGATAATCTTTGGAAAAGTCCTATAAAGTATTCTATTCATGACCATGAGCAAACTCCTATCATATCTAAAGATATATAACTATAACTAACTGGTATTTTTACTTACCTTTATCATTAGGTGCTTGGGTAAATCACGGCCAGGGAGTGGTCAAGGAATATAACAATCACTTAATTTGGACATATGATGCATCACATTTGGGTTACTGGATAGCAGCTCCACTTCCAGGAATTAGAGGTATTGTAAAAATTTAAATAATTTTAAAAAATAATCCAAATAGTCATATTGGAATTGATATCAGCAGACATCAGTTTTATTCTGAGCTTTGCTACTTGCCAGCTGCATGACACTGGGAAACCACTGAGCATTTTTTTTCCCCATGTGTATAAGAAAAGATTAAAGTCTATGAACTCTAAGGTGCCTTATTACTGCAATGTCTGATGAATCTGTGAAGAATGAAGTTTGTTCAAATTTACTCTTCTTTTCCTAGTTTGCTTTTTTCATGGATAAATTCTACCCAGATCAGTTAGAGCTTTTGGTTCCAGCAACAGAAATAGATTTTGGATAATTAGAAAAATGTGTTAGAAGGCTATGGGGAGTTCTCAGGATCCTAGGAAAGGAAGAAGAACCAAATGTAAAAGGCAGGAATCCTTGCAGCACAGAGGGCCCAGTGGAGGCCTGCTTGACTGTCTTCATCAGGTTGCTGCTGTGTGATGACTGACTCCAACCCTTTCCAGTCCTTTCCTCATTCTGTTCCTGGTCATTTTAGGGATGAAGAGTCTGATTGGCCCACTGTTGGGTCATGGGCACACCTCTTGGGGGTGCAGGAGAGTAAGAAGGGCCTTGAACAATAGTGTCCCCAGACTGTTTTCGAGAGAAGACAGGTGATATACCAAATGAAAATTGGCCTGACACTTTGAACAGATGGTAGATGGAGACTGGTGGCCAAAAACCTAGAATTGTCCACTAGGGATGATCTATGCATATTCTAGGAGAAATAAGTTTTATTTCCTTATTTTAACATGGTATCAAATTATCTAGCTAACTACCTAAGAATCCTACATTCATCAAGTAGTGTAAATTTCTCAAAATATTCAAACATTGCATATTTTATCCATTGCATATTTTATCCATTAAACCTTGAGAGTCTTCTCACCTGCTTTAGTCTAGACTGGTTGCACTGTCAGCCTTGTATCACCTTCTGGGCCTTTTGGATATTTGTTAGTGTAAATCAAGCCGCTGCTGGGCTTTCCCTACTGGAAGCTTTGCTCAGTCAACTTTCTTACCTTCAGCATTTTGTTGCATTCTGTTATCTCATTTTCCTTTATCCTTGTAGGTTTGTATATTTGCAGAATCAAAACAAAGCAAAACTTTTAGTGTCATTTTAACGAAGACTTGGGAATGAAAGTTGAATGCATATATTATTCCTCCATGTTCAGTCATGTGTCAGAGATGATTTTTTTGGTTTATCAAGTGTTTTGGCTCCCAGCTGAAAGGCAGCTGCTACCTGGCTGTTTCATACTGGTCAGGAATAGTCCTAATACATTCCCTGATGCAAAGGACATGGATGATATTTCACATTCATTTCTCTGCAGCATTCTAACATCTGTCTATAATTTTTTAATTTTTTAATTTATTTTATTTTATTTTTTTCTTAATTTTATTTTGTCGATATACAATGAGGTCGATTATTGTGGTACATTACTGAAACCCCCTCCCTCTCACCCCTTCCACCCAACAATGTCCTTTCTGTTTGCTTGTCGTGTCAACTTCAAGGAGTTGTATTGTAAAGTCTCGCCCCCCCCCCCCCAGTTTTTTGTGTGTGCGTGTGAATTTATTTATTTATTTTTAGCTCCCACCAATAAGTGAGACCATGTGGTATTTCTCTTTCTGTGCCTGACTTGTTTCACTAAATATAATACTCTCAAGGTCCATCCATGTCGTTGCAAATGGCAGTACTTCATTCGATTTTATAGCTGAGTAGTATTCCATTGTGTAGATATGCCACAATTTTCGTATCCACTCATCCGATGATGGACATTTGGGCTGGTTCCAACTCTTGGCTATTGT